ATATGATATAAAATAAAAAAATAACTTTATTATGTTTATATAATATTTTTTATGTTGTTATAATTTAACAATTTTTAAATTTAAATTTAGATTATTCATGCAGAAGATATGCCAGAACCATTACAAACATTTGGTTATTCATTAAGTGGTGGGATTGATATGGATCAAAATGGATATTCTGATTTATTAGTAGGAGCCTATGAAAATGATGCTGTAGCACTTCTTCGTTCGAAAAAAATAATTGATATTACTACTTATATTCGTTATTTAAAAAAAGATGGTACATTTCAAGAAAAAATAGAACCCATAGATCCTAATAAATTTGGATGTTTAGCAGATCCTCATTCAAACCATACATGGTAAATATAATTTAATAAATTTTTAATACAAATAAAATTTTCATCAATATTATATTTATAAAATTCTAATTATATTTTTGTAGTTTTTCATTTGAAGCTTGTTGCAAAACAGAATCTTTAGTAAAAGAAGAAGATATGCAAAATTTAAAATTAAATTATTATATTGAAGCAGAAACTTATACTGGAATTAAGAAATTTTCTAGAGTTTGGTTTGGAGCTGGATATTCTCGTCTACATTATGTAAATCGTACTGTCAATTTAGATAGAAAGTTTGAACATTGTCAAAAAGAAATTATTTACTTAAAGGTAATATTTTATAACAAATATTTTATAAATAATTAAACAATAAATCAAATAATTAATAATAATTAAATCAAAAAATTATTTTATTTTTTTTTAAGGAAAATACACGTGATATTCAATCACCTATTAAATTTCGTTTAAATTATTCATTAATTCAAGAAGAACCAGTTATGCCATCTGAAGGAGAACCTTTACCTGATATAAAAAATTATCCTATATTAAATCAACAGGAAGCTGCTCGTGTATTTGAAGCAACCTTTCAAAAAGATTGTGGTAATAATGATATTTGCGAAAGTGATTTACAAGTAAAAGCTCGATTAAATTTATCAGGTATGATTTTAGTAAAAATCATAAATAATTAAAATAATTAAAAATATAAAGTTATGAATATTTAAATTTATTTTTATTATTTTTATTATATTAATTTTATTTTTATTTTAAATTTAAATATATTTTTAATTAGCTTCTTCTGTAAAACCAAATTTCTATGAACTTCTTTTGGGAGAAAAAGAAGAAGTTGTAGTGGATGTAAATATATCCAACATTGGGGAATCTGCATATGAAGCTCAATTATTCATTCTTCATTCACAAAGTTTAAATTATATTGCTAGTAAAAGTAATGATTCTATAATTTGTAATTTATATAATACAAGTACAGTAAGTTGCTCTATCGGAAATCCTTTTAAAAAAGACAAACTAGTAAATATACAAGTAAGATTTGATCCTAAAGAATTAGAAGATAATAAATCACAATTAGAATTTGTAATATTTGCGAATTCCACTTCAAAAGAAATAAAAGAAAAAGAACCTATAAGATTACAAGCAACAATATTGAAACAAGCAGAATTATCAATTAAAGGGTATATATAAATATTTTTTTAAATTCATAAAATAAATAAATAAAAAAATTCTATAAAACAAAATATTATAAAATTAATAATTTAATAATTTATTAACTGTAAAAATTATTAAAATTATTAAAATTATAGAAGTGCAAAAATTCAGTGGGCTGTATATGGTGGACCAATTATAGGTGAATCTGCTATTAAACATTTAAATGAAGTAGGACCTAAAGTATCACATGTGTATGAAGTATTTAATGAAGGTCCATGGAGAGTAAGTAGTTTAGAAGTTCGCATTTCATGGCCTTATGAAGTTGCAAATGATAAAGCACATGGTAAATGGCTTTTATATTTAGAAGAAATACCAATTGTTCAAGGTAAAATTTTATTTATATCAATATTATTTATATAACATTTTTATTTTAGTTTACATTATAGGTATATATTATATTTATTTTATAGCTTCAGGTGATGGTGAATGTATATTACCACCAGGACAGATAGTTAATCCTTTAAAATTACAAGACAGTATTAGTTATGATGATATAGATGTATTTCAATCTGCAATATCTACTTCACTTACATTACCACATAATCATACAATTCGTATGAGAAATAAGCGAGATACGGAAAAAGTTGTTAATACACGAACTATTATTGATAAGGATGGTCACAGACATCAAGTAGTTTCCATGGTAATTATTTTATATATTTTTTAAAATTTAAAATAAATTATTATGAACATGTATCAAAATTAAAATTAATAATTTTTTATAAATATAGAATTGTAAAGCAGGAACGGCAAAATGTTTTGATATTACATGCTTTATATACAATTTGCAAAGAAAACAAGAAGCAATTATAACTGTTAAAGCAAGGTAACATTTGATAGAAATATTATATTTTATTATATATAAGTTATTATATATATTATTATATATAAATATTTATATATTTATTAAATATATAAATTTATATTTTATTATTATATTGTTTTATTAATTTTATTAATATTTTTATTTATAATAGACTATGGAATTCTACTCTTGTAGAAGATTATCCAAAAGTAGATAAAGTAAAAATTGGTTCTAATGCAAGAATAATTATTCCTCCAAATGTCATAATACAACAAGAAAATTTAAAAGATGATTATGCAATTGTAAGTATTATTTTAATATATTATTATTGTATACTGTATTGTTGTATACTATATTGTTTTATTTTTATTATATTCATTAGTATTTTTAACTTATGATATATATATATATATGTGCTTTTTATTTTAATTTATATTTTAATACATAGGCTGAGACAATTGTATATCCAGATATTCTTGATCACCAAGATGTCGAACCAGTACCAATATGGATAATTATAGTAGCTGTTGTAGCAGGTTTATTATTATTTATTTTACTTACTTTAGTTCTTCGAAAACTTGGATTCTTTAAAAGACGACGACCTGATCCGACTTTATCAGGAAATCTTGAAAAACATAAAGATGATAATCCAGAAAGTGAAGCATTATTTAAACGCCAAATATTATAACAAAAATATTACATTTTTTTATGAATTATTATTTACTTACGTTTAAAGTACTTATAACAACGAAAATCTATAAAAAATTTATTCTTCAAAAATGAAGAAAATACGATATAAAGTTTGAATATTTGATAACTTATAATGTGATATATTGACTTATTTATATTTGCATTTCTTTTTATTACAAATTTTATTGATTTTATATATACTTATCTATTTAATAATTATATTAATATATTAGTTATAATTTCCAATATAACTACTATAAATATATAATAATGATATATAATAATGAGCTACTGATTTTTTTATTATATAATAATTTTGCGAATTATAAACTCTACATTCTCAAATATCTTTATAAATTATATTTATCTATATATTATATATTATCTATATATTCTTATAAAAAATTACAAAAATTATTCAAACTATTAAAATCTTTAAAAAATTAAAAGATATAAAAATTATTTTTTATGACAATAATATTATTGCATTTATACATTCATACAAGCGCACAATTTGAATCATATAAAAATACGAAAAATTTAATATTTAATTATACGGAATATTTAATATTATACAACTGAATTTTTAATTTCATACAATTTTTGAATCCATATAATAGAACATTTATTACAAAATAATATTTTATAAAAGTTCAGATTCATATTTTATAAAAAAATGCATTTATTTAATATTAAGTATTTCTCTAAGATATACATAAGTTTTTTATATATTTAAGTGTTTTAAATTAAGACTTACAATTTAAAATGTATTTCATATTAAAAAAAAGTTATATAGTTCCTTTTTTATTAAAAAGTTGGAAATCATAGAAAGATTTCATAATTAATGCAAACTTGCCATCAATTATTTAACATAGAACAAATGTAAGTCATAAAATATAAATTTATTTAATTATAAAATTTAAAGCAAATAAAAAAATAAAAAATTGTAAGTAGTTTTAAATTGTTTTTTCACTATGATTTAAAATTTAAATATATATAAGTATTATAGTTTTTTTAGTTACTTATTGTTTTATATTTCATTTTAAATTGATATGAATTAAATTGATATCATTTATATTATATTAAAATTACAAATAAAATGCTTAATAACTTTTTTAATAAACAAATTTTTATATTTTTCTCTTATAATAGTGAAAATTTTTTTTTATAATATTATAAAAAATATTTAATTATTAAATTTTTTTTTTTTATCATTACACATTATTTATACATATAATTTATATTATATGTATATTATATGTTATTATATATAACAAAATATTATCTTGTTATACATTACATACAACATATTAAGATATATATTATTAATTCTAATATATATTAGAAATATTTAAAAATTATTGACTAAGTGTATTGCACATTTTCATGTTATAGCGCATTCTTTAAAATATTTATATATTTTTATGCATTAATAAATTCAATGAACTACATTATATTAAAATGATTATGAAATAAAATAAAGAAATATACTTAAATTTAATTGTTAATCCAAAAAATACTATTAGAAATTTATTATATTTAACCAATATTTCAGACTTTATTATAATTTTTATATCATTATAATAAAGTAATGATTATAATAATGATTCATTATTTATATCTTTATATTAAATTTTTTATTACATAATAATTTTTGCAATAAAATAATTAGATATAATTCATAAATTAATATATTAATATAAAAAAAATATATTTTTGTTTTAAATATCATTTAATATAAAATACTTACAATCATCTTTATAAACCAAATTTTTTACAACAAAGAATATGATTCTAAAAACATATAAATTAAATATTTATTACAAATCAATAAAAAAACATTTTTAAAATAATATTTAATATTTTGTAAAATAATAATAATTATTATTATTTTTAATTATATTTCACATTATATTTCATCATTTCATTAAAAATATAATTATTAAATATTAATGTATGTGATAATCAATATTTAATGTCAATTTACTATAGTATATATTCAAATAAGAACAATCTGCCATCATGAATCTATAAATTTTATACAAAATTAATTTTCTAAAAATGATACATATAAATGATATTAATTAAATGATATTTATTAAATTATACTTACTTATACAATAATATTGTAAGTGGGACTGTACTTGCATGCCATAAAGAGTGAGCATCAAAAATCCAAAAAATGGGTGCAAAATCTGCTATTTCTAATATAGTAACAAAAACTGTTAATATATTGAACCAACCAATCAAATATATATAAGATAATTTTTTTTGATTACGATGCCACCATGTCATTGTTATAACAAATGTTAAAAATCCTGTAATATATTTAATAATTTAATTAAAAAAGTTTATTAATAAAATAAAAAATAAATATTTTATTAATTACCTATAACTATATTAAATTTCATGTTATAGTCATAATTAATATAACCAGACCATAAATGAGATAAATGTGAATATAAAGTACTAAGATATCCACATGTAATCACAGCAAAAAACTTATTATTTTTATAAGTTATCCTAAAATGTTCACAATAATAAATATTTCTTAAATTGTTTTATTAATATATTTATATAATGATTAATATATTTATTATAATGATATAAAAATTATATTCTAATTAGCATACCTTAATAACATACAATATAGTAATGTAAGAACCATAATAAAAGCAGAAGAATAATCCATTACTTCTGTAAATGGAATATCTCTTGCATGAAAAATAAATGACCAAAACCAACCATGCATGCATACCTATAATTAAATTTTTTATATTTATATAAAAGACAATATTTATAAAATATTAGAAATTTATTTAATAAAATCATATTTTTATATATAATAATTATATATTTACCAAACTGAAATAAGTCCATATATAAAACATAGGATAAGTTGATCCATATTTTTTTTTAAATTTCCAATACATAGTAATATGAGCATAAAAATTTAATATAGAAAATATAACAGAAGCAGGTTCTTGACAACCAAAAAAACGAATAAATGGCCACTAAAATAAAAAATTTGAATCATTATTTGTAATAATTAGCAATCATAAGTAATTATTATTGTCTTTTCTTTCAAAACATTTTAATCAAACAAAATTAACAATTTTTTCAGAAATTGGAATATAATTATAATATAATTGACTATTATAATAATTCTAATTATTCTAATTTATTCTAATTAATTAACAAAAGTCTTGCATTAATAGAAATAATCATCTATACATTAATTTGAATATTGTACATTAATTCAAAATAAATGATTTCTTTCATTGAAATAAATATTTTTCCTTGTATTAAAAAAATTGTTTTCAAAATACAATAGTATATAAAAGCTAAAATGATCATTTAAACATAAACAGAGTAATAGAATAAAAAACTTATTAGACTTCAAACATATTATGCCAAAATTATCATATTATGTTAAAATTATTTACAAATATTTATTTTGAATCATTTTTCATTGTTTTTTTTATTATATTATAAAATAAAAGTATAATTTTTTATTAAAAATAATAATAATAAAAAGAAGAAATAATTTTTAAGAAAAATTTTAAAGAAAGAAAGAATTTTTGTTTTACATTATTATATCTTATGAAAAATTAAAAAAAGAAATGTTTATTTTTTTTGTTTTTTTATTATTATTTTTATTATTATTTAATCTTTTATCAAATTAGCAATAGATATTCAATATATTTCATATACCTTTCCATGAAATTGAGGAACTTTTAAACCATGAGATATAAAATAATCAACTGTCTTCCAAGTGCATTTATAACTACAATCTTCTGTACAAGACCAAAATAATAATCTTAATGATAAAGAAGGTAATTCTTTAAATTTTTTATCTGCAAAATAGTAAGTTAATAATTAATAAATATTATATAATTACATATAATAAACTATAAGTTGTTAAAAGTATTTTTTTTATTATTTTAATTATAGAATTAAAAAAATATAAGTTTATATAATAATTTTATTAGAACAAACATTTTTTAATTTATTATCTAGATATATTATATACATACCTCTATCACAATTACTATCAAGACATTTTTCAAAACATAAATTGTAAAATTGAGACTTATCACCTATGGAACCTTCTATATTTGTTATTATAAGCATTTGAAATGCTAAAATTAAAAGCCATTTTAATTCTAACATATTTTATATTTATCTCCACTATTTCTAGTGTAATTTATATATTTTCTTTAATATATATTTTTAAGAAACCTTAATGACGAAGCAGAAATCCAATATTTATCCAATATATCCAATCTTAAACGAATTAATATCAATTATAATAATAAGTAACAAAATATATGTATATTTCACTTTTAATTATAATTTAATTATAAGATATTAATTTTATTAATTAAAAATAAAATATAAAATAAATACATAAAAAATTTATGTTTAATTTTTTTTATTAGTTTATATTAAATTGAAGCAAGAAAAAGTGATATAAAATCATTTTATGTTAACGAATAAGAATTATAAGTATTCATTTTAAAATTTGTATATATATACAGATATCCTAAAAATATGAAAACACTGATTACTAAAGTTTCTTGAAATAATTTCAAGCAACATTTTTTTTTGTAAAAATTTTCATTACATTTTATTAATAAGTTATTAAAAAAATATTATAATGTCAATCACGAAGCACATAAATTACTCAACTTTCGATAATAGCGTTGAGTATGTCCTTGATTAAGCACGAACAAATTCAAGCAACATGAATTAAAAAAATTTGATGGAAATAACAATTAATTAGAATAAATAATTTATTCATTGTTCTTGAATTTTTTCTATAAAAAAATATTTGTTATGTTTAACAGATTTTCTTTAACACATATTGCTTGAATTTGTTTATATTCAATCAGCAGCATATATATTTATAGCATTATATTTTAATGCTATTGTCGTGACTTGATTGGTTTACTTGATTACTTTACTGCTCTGTGATTGGCTAGTATTTTCTAATTACTCATTAAAGAAGTCATAATGAAAGTTTTTGTAAAAGAAAATATTATTTGAAATTACTTCAAGAATTTCCACTTAATCAATATCCCATACTTTTACGACATTCTCTCTCTCTTTATATATATATGTATATGTGTATATATACGTATTATTTTAGTTAATATTCTATTTATTTTTTTTTTCATTATATGTTCTTATGACTTTTTTAGATACTATAAAATATAAAATAGAATAAATGATATGTCATCAATGAATATATTTTTTCAAATATGATAGATTTATGTATAAACAATTTTGAATTAAACACGTTGAAATGTATACACTTTTACATGGACTATACAAGTATCTTGTACAAAAAGATGAATATTTTATATTAATATTAGGACTTGATAATGCAGGAAAAACAGTAAGATATTAAAAAAGCTATTAAAATAATTGTGGTTAAGTATAATATATATAATAATAAAATATATCATGTATTCTAAATGGTTTTTATGACATAGACTTATTTAGAAGCAGCGAAAACCAAATTTACAAAGAATTATAAAGGAATGAATCCTAGCAAAATTACAACAACTGTTGGTTTAAACATTGGAAAAATTGACATAGCTGGTGTTCGTTTCAATTTTTGGGATCTTGGTGGACAAGAAGAACTAAGATCACTCTGGGATAAAGTAAGAAATAAATATTTAATATATTATTAAACTTGTTTTTTTATTAAACAATTATTTTATATTTATAGTACTATGCAGAATCACATGCTGTGATTTATATAGTTGATTCATCAGATCGTGAAAAAATACCTGAATCTAAAGAAACTTTTGGTAAAATATAAAAGAAATATATGTATTATATATTATATATATTATAGTTTATTAAACAAATATTTATATTCAATTATAGATAGAGTTATATCATCAGAACATTTAATAGGTGTGCCACTTTTAGTCCTAGCAAATAAACAGGATGTGCCTGATTGTATGGGTGTTAGAGAAGTAAAACCAATTTTTAATCAAAATGCACACTTAATAGGACGAAGAGATTGCATGGTAATGCCTGTTTCTGCTTTGAATGGGTATGTCAGTTTTAAATTTTATTTTATTTCAAACTTAAATAAATTATATTATAAATATATTCATATATTTATATAATTTTTTAAGTTACATATAATTATCTTAAATATTTAGTGTAAAAAACATAAATTAATGAATAAATAAAATATAAATTATAAAGATTTTATATATGAAATTATTTATGATTTTAATGTAATGATTTTAATGTAAATATTGAAAAAGAATAATTATTTTAAATTAAATTTAACAAATTTTATTTAAAATAAATAAAATAATACTTCATAACATGATATCATGCCAATTTTTTATTTAATAATAATAATAATTAATAATTATATATTTTTATTAATAATTATTTATTACAAATAGTTATTATATTGGTAAAATAAACATGTTGTGAAGTTTAAAAATTATTTAAGACAATTATATTATATAAATATAATATCAAAGGGATGGCATAGATGAAGGAATTCACTGGCTTGTGGATTGTGTGAAGAGAAACAACGATGTTCGTCCCCCTCGTAATCAGAATGACAATTGTCTATCTTAATTATACATTTATATTTTGTTTTATAATATAGATTAATCAATGAACAGTATTTTAATGTAAAAATTGTATACACTTATTAAAAAGTACATTTTTACCAATAAACTTTGTTTTCTGTATTAATTGAATTACTTATTCTTATTTGTTATGATAATAAAATATTAATATTTTTGTTTGTTTTTTAAACATTAATTTTTCTTATTTTTTGTTATTATATTATATTATTTATTTTATTATATTTATTTATTTTTGTCTTATTTATTATTTATTATAATAGTTAATATTAGTAATATTAGTAATTTTTATATTTAATTAATTAAGCAATATTAAATATTTTACTCTTAATTTAATATAATTAATGATTTTTCCAATTGTTCTGTTATTGTAAGTGATTTGTATTACTGATATCAAAGTAGCTAAGATAAGAGATAATACTAGCACCTTACCTCCTCTTCTGTTATGTTAGTGATAAATAGTCTACAAAACTGATAGTTCTGTTATATGTTGTAAAATAATTATATTATAATTTTTCTGTTAAATTTTTAATGCATCATGTGGCCATATTATGAATCTGAAGATTGGAGTGTTTTACCACCAGAATTGAATAGACGGTATTAATTGCATTATTTTTATTTTTAATAAAAATTAT